GGTGGTGCCCCATGGGCCCTGCAAGGGGCTCTGGCGACCCGAGGGATCCTCACAGGGACAGCGGTGACCCCAGGGTTTTTTCCAGGTATGGGGGCGTCTCCAGGTACGTTCCTAGTGACCTTGGTGCTCCCAGAGGCCCTGCCAGCTGCGGTGGCGCCTTTAGGGGCCCTTCTAGAGGCGGTGGCTCCCCCCAGGCCTCTTTATGGGGTGCCACTGATCTCAGGGACCCTGCGAAGGCCTGTGGCTCACAATAGGTCCTCCTAGGCGAGGCGGCGCCCCAAAACAATGGATAGTGTTATATATATATATATATTTATATATATACAAGAGTCGAAGAGAAAAACTGCACATTTGTCTTGAGTCTGTTGTGTACAGGACGTGTGTAAGCCTATTTGCCACCGACCCTTCTTCCAGTAGTAGTAGTAGTAGTAGCAACTGATGCTGCAAGTGCCAGAGAACTTGAAAAAACGTAGCAATAGTGCAGGAGGTGGGCGCCTCGAACTGGCTAACAACGTTACCGATAAGGGCAAAAGGTTTCAATCTTAATAAACAATAATTCACAGATGCAATTGCTCTACGGTACGGTAAGTCATGGTGTAAGAAAGGGGGCTTCTTATGCATGGGGCATGACGAAGTATGGGATCATACAGCAAATATGTTGGAGGAAACCTGCCATGATACCAGGGTAGAACCGACCCTCCTTTCATTGGACGGTGAGATCTTCCCACATAGGACTTCAAACACACCCAACGAAACCCGTGTTGACATCAGTGCTCGAGGATTCTGGACGCGGGGACAGCAAGCCTTCTTCGACATCAGGATTTTTTATCCCACGGCCGCATGCCACCGTAACTTAGCTCTCGATACTTCACACAGGTGGAACGAGAACTACAAGATAAGGACATAGGGGAGAGAATTCAGAACGTTGATAAAGGCAGCTTCACTCCTCTGGTGTTAACAACCTTTGGTGGGATGGGACCAAGTGCAAGATGTTTCTACGCCAGACTCACGGAGGTGATCTCCAAACAGAAGCAGCAGCCCAGAAGTTATGTTACAGCCTGGATGAGATGTCGACTGTCTTTCTCTCTCCTTCGGCCGGCTTTGCTCTGCCTCAGGGGAACGAGAGCTTCGGCCCCAAAGCCAACAACAGCTGCAGATATTGACTATGAGGCAACAGTTACTGAATGCCGCATAGATCTGCGGCTCAACTAACTCAACACAGATAGGATAGCTACTAATGTATTAGGATATTTAATTTTAAGGTAATAAAATGGCGGCGAAGGTGTGGCTATTAGGGTAGGATGGAGGCCACGTTTCGTTTTTCGTAGTAGTAGTAGTAGTAGTAGAAGTAGTAGGAGCAGTAGTAGTAAATTAGTAGTAGGAGTAAAATTCACAATAGTAGACGAAAATGAGGGCAAGTTTCAACCAACCAACCAGAACACGTCAAACCCGACTACGCGTGGAATTTTACCCAAACAACGAACAATGGGAGGAATACTCTCTGGCAGGTGAGTAAAAATGTTCACGAGTCCACTAGGAACTTTATCTCGGTGGAGCCCTGGTGGGATTGACGGGGGTCTTATTGTGTTTTTCTTGGGCACCTCCTTGTTGTGGGGAGCTGTCAACACAAGGACGCTCGCCACCCTTCCTCCTTCTGTGGCCACTTTCCTTCCCACTTTATGTTTTTCTTATTTACTTCGAGTTTCATCTGTTTCTCTTTAATTATTCTCCTCTTACGTTCTTTTTTTATTAATGGAGACTGTTTTTCTAGTTGTTATCTAAGCTGTATAGATTTTTTTTACCTGTGAAAAGTGTATATATTCAAAATACATATTTCCTAACAAAGATAAGGATGGGCCGAGTTGTGGATTTGTATTTAAAAGCATTAATTGCAAACCAACAACCTTCTTCTTTAGTTCTGTGTTGATGAGTTACTTGAGAAGGTGCAGATAGTGTTACCAGGTATGTACGGTAAATAGCATGATACCTGGATAGAAAGAGTTACATCCTTCTTACTTGTCATATATAATCTATTGTTGCTTTCTGGAGTGTCAAACATCAAGGTAATTTAGCTCACACTTTGTTAGAGATCCATCTGACATCACCTGTTACACACTTCGTAAAGACAGTGATAATAAAACAATTCTCTGTACACAAAAGTATCCATTTATTGTTACATCTTGTCTATGTACACAATGTAATGTAGCGTTTTCCATGAACTTCAGAAAACTCCTGAAATCCAGTTAAAAAGGTACTCGGTTAGAACATACATCTTAGCCTAATATATATAACAGTTGACAGAGCGGTCATAAGAGTGTCCTCAAATATTATCGACATACTGAGAAGCGAAGTTTTTTACTCTACGGAGATCGACTAGAGACCTTTTATTTTTTGTTTGATTTTGTTTTTTAGGACGTTTTTATCACATCCTTCTTTGGCCGATGCTGTTCTATCCATCACCCTCTGCAGCCAACGTTTTTGTTTGTGCCTTACGTCAGCTGTCGACACTTTCTCTTCCTGCCTGTTCTCTGCAGGTGATACATTCTATCTTTAGGGCTGAAACTTTCCCTTTTTTGGTGCCGATATTTTTCAACTTTGAGGCTGACTCTTTTTACCATAGCTGGCCGTCACTTACTGCCCTCCAGGTCGACATTTTCTCTTTATCTACAGCCGACGACCTCTGTCTTTGTGACCAACACTTTGTGGCTCTATCGACATCAGTGTAAACATCACATGTCTACAGTATATATATATATATTTTGCTCTATGTACATATTGTGCTTCTGTACACTTTCTCACCGTATTCCATTCTTTAACAAGTGACAATCGTACTTATCTGCAATCTTTCTGACTCTTGTTTTTTGCCAATTAACCATTTTAGCACCTGTTGCCTCACCTATTCCACGTGGTTATTGGTTTGTATCACATAACCAGAGTGAACTTGATTTTATACTCATGTTCAAACTGACCATTTGTCTCTGTCAGGTACTCCAGGCAAGCACCTGTCTGACGCACGAACACCTGTTTTCACTACATTTCTTAGCTTAACATCTGTTTCTGCCACAGTCTTCAGTCAGATGAATGTCTCTCGACAGATATATAACCTGAGCTCCTGTATTTGCCAAACCTACTAGCTGAACACCTGCTTCTTAACCTACTAGCTGAACACCTGCTTCTTCAGAACCTATCATCTCAACATCTGCTTCTAACACATAATCCTGATGAAATTGCATCCCCCAAATATCTGCTCTCATACATACCTCAGTTAAACATTTGCGTCTAGACATATGTTTCGAGTAAACATTTGTTCCTACTGTACCACTGGATATAATTAAGCCTCTGTTTTAAGCAAGAAACTGAGTTTAACGTGTTTTGCCGTACACCAACCGAACGTCTTGTTTCTTACACGTATCAGCGGTGGATATCTGCTACTGAACCCGTTTTCTCACATAACCCACTTCAGGTACTGGGGAACACCGCATGTCTTATATTCTCTTAACTGAACACTACCTTCCACTTAATACTCATTATCTGTTCAGGTTCTCTAATGAACTGCTAGTTTTCTACTGTTTCTTCAGGTTAAATCAAACATTCGTTCAGTCATCTGACCCTCTGCTGTCTGCTACATATCCTTGGTGAGCATTTTTCGTCCACCACACTCTAGTTTAGGTCAACACACAATGAGTCAGTTTTCAGTGGTATTTTCATTATGTTCATTCGATAACAACATGAGTATGATCTATATAGACTGTATATACCGGTATATCTCACTGGTTAATATCAACACTTAATTTCTTGATCACAGCGAATCACACATGATGGAGGAGATAGAACAGTCTGGGGTATGCTAGTGTGATCTCCAGGCATTATTACACTGATTTTGACATGATGGAGACAGAGACAGAAATTGTGGTATGCTAATATGCTCCCATGGCGCCGTACAGCACTGGAGATTGAGCCAGAATAGTTGGTGTATGCTAATATGCTTCCGCGGTTCCTGCATATGCTGGAGATGGAGATAGAATAGTCAAAATATGCTCGCATGCTCTCTAACAGAACCAACGGAGTATTCTGGCATGTTTACCACGCATCGTCAAGCACACACACGGTCACTAGAATATGATCACTGTACAATATAGAGCGCGCATGCTGGACAAAATATAACGAGTCTGGGATATTGTCTACCTTGATGGTGGCTGTACCGTAGAAAGTCGCCGGTCTGAGTCGGTATTGGAAGTATTCGAGACACAAGTTTTATACAAACATCGTAAAAGGAGATCACGTCATACACACAAAATATATCATCTGGGGAGAGGGGCTGTTTCAAAGCCGTCACCAGAGCCACATTATTTATACAGCAAAAGAGGAAGAGGAAGATTAGTATGTCCATACAGTGTATAATACAAAACATCGTTGCACCATTTAATACAAAAGACGAAGCGAATCAGGCTTTACAAAGTAGGAAACCCCAAGTGTTGCCATCACCGGTGCAGGACATTATAGAAGATAGACAGTAGGAGGGAGGAGAAGTGGGCGGCGACGGGCGTGATGACATTGTAGACGTGTGGGCGTACAGCTGGGCTGGTGCCGTGCTGCATGGCTGCCGGGCGCTCGCCTGTGGGGAGATACCAGTGCATAACTTAGACTAAAACCCATATCTCGGCACATCCAGTTATTCTAAAGAACCAAGATCTGAACAGTCAAAAAATGAAGTATCTAGTGACGCTGATAAAGAAAAAGACAATCACATCTCTGAATGAAAAAAAAACACATCTATTTTTCTGTCTACCAATAAGCAGCCATCTGCTGCCACTACTTGTACACTAAAATGTCTATATTTTACTAAACTGGAAAATACTGACACATTGTATTTCTTTCTTATGTTCACAACTACCCTACAGATGCGAAATTAACAATGTGTTTATATTCGTTTATATTCCATACAGACCTGTACATAGCCACTATAAAACAGTAATATAATTTATAATATCCAAAGTTGATGAGTCAATCTAAATATGACTTACCCTTCACTCTGTGTGTGTGTGTGTGTGTGTGTGTGTGTGTGTGTGTGTGTGTGTGTGTGTGTGTGTGTGTGTGTGTGTGTACTCTCTTGGGTAATTAAGACACGTGAACAAAGACCCACCAGGTAACCAAAGGCCAACCATACAAAGACTGTATTACCAACAAAAGGAAACCTTACCATTCAAGAGAAAATGTAAGAGATATCATCGCTGAACAAAAGCATCATCAGATAAAAAAAAACCTCAGAACCTTTTATTTTGCCATTCCCGCTCCCTACCTACCCATGTTAAACAAAAGACGTCTCTCACAAACAGAAACAACGGAAAACGGAAATCTCTTACCGTTGAGAACATGGAGGATGACAGAAACGGGCGTGAGGGCGGCGGGAGCGCAGGTGTAGTTGCCGGCATGGGTGTGACTGACGGAGTTAATGGTGAGGGAAGCTACGGAAGCCTCGGAGGACACCCGCCTCAGAGGCACTTGTTCCACCCCCGCCCATGAGTTATCTGTCACCCGCGCGTCCTCCTAAGGGTGGCAAAATGGATGGTGAGGCATGGGTGCTAGTGGATGAATGGATGTTGTAGGTGGTGGAGGTGGATGGTGGGGTGTGAGTGGTGGAGGTGGATGGTGGTGAGTGAGTGGTGGAGGTGAATGGTGGGGTGTGGTGGGTGGAGGTGGAAAGTGGGGTGTGAAGGGTGGAGGCGGATGATGGGGTGTGAAGGGTGGAGGCGGATGGTGGGGTGTGAAGGGTGGAGGTGGATGGTGGGTGTGATGGGTGGAGGTGGATGGTGGGGTGAGGTGGAGGTGGATGGGTGGGGTGTGAGGAGGATGGAGGGGTGGATGGTGGGGTGTGGAGGGATGGGTGGATGGTGGGGTGTGAGGGGTGGAGGTGGATGGTGGGTGGGGTGTGGTGGTGGAGGTGAATGGTGGGTGTGAGGGGTGGAGGTGGATGGGGAGGGGTGGAGGTGGATGGTGGCGTGTGAGGGTGGAGGTGGGATGGTGGGTGTGGGGGGTGGATGGTGGGGTGTGAGTGGTGGAGGTGGATGGTGGGGTGTGGAGGTGGATGGTGGGGTGTGGGGTGGAGGTGGATGGTGGGGGGGTGTGAGGGGTGGTGGATGTGGGGTGTGATTGGAGGTGGATGGAGGGTGGGCGGATGGTGGGGGTGTGAGGGTGGATGGTGTGGGTGAGGGATGGTGGGGTGTGGGGTGGATGGTGGGGTGTGAGGGGTGGATGGTGGAGGTGGAGGTGGATGGTGGGGTGTGGTTGGGGTGGATGGTGGGGTGTGGAGGTGGATGGTGGGGTGTGATGGGTGGAGGTGGATGGTGGGGTGTGGGAGGGTGGATGGTGGGTTTGAGGGTGGAGGTAATTGGTTGGGTGTGGGTGGATGGTGGGGTGTGAGGTGGATGGTGGGGTGAGGGTGGATGGTGGGGTGTGGGGTGGATAGTGGGGTGTGAGGGGTGGAGGTGGATGGTGTGGTTTGATGGGTGGAGGTGGATGGTGGGGTGTGAGGGGTGGAGGTGGATGGTGAGGTGTGAGTGGTGAAGGTGGATCGTAAGGTATGGGTGGTGGTGGATGGTGATGTGGGAGTTATTCACTTGATATCACCTAAGGGCCAAAATCAACAAAAAAGATATGTTTGAGCCCAAGCCCAGGATATCAGTAGTCTTAAATCGGTGGACAACTGGCCCATTCTACCTAAATACGATCTCGTATCTCTAATTACGGCGAGAGAAAAAACAAACACCAAAGAGACTAATCTTTGAGAATCAGAGTTCGTAGTTAACCCGCGTGGTATGAGAACACGTAAGTGATGGGATGGAGTGCAACTGACATACCACTGTACTTAGATACGATCAAATACCTCTATTTACAGGAGGAAAAGGCTAAAAAAAATGCCAAATATACGAGACTCAATCGGTCGTAGTTAACTTACGTGGTACCAGAAGACGTAGCTGGGGGGATGTAGGGCATGACTGACCACACACTTGATGGTCACTGTGCTGCCGCTGCGGACATGGAGCTCTGAACCCGCAGGGATGGTCACTCGGGGTGCTGAAGAAGAGAAACAGACGATGATGATACTACTATTGTTGATATTATAAAGTATCACAGCCTTTCAATACTTAAAATATGGACGCGTGTTTACCATAGATTACTCAGGGTCACTGGGGAAGAAGGTGGAAATATTACTAATGATAGTGTGTTGATGTTAAACCGTATTACTCTTCGTCAATAACAAAGGTCATGAACGGCGTACTCCAGGTTACACCACACGATAGTCAACAATGAAAAGTTAAGTGCGATCCATCTGTCTGTTTATGATGATGGAGTTGTGTGTTATGTTCACTTCTGGCTGCCGGAAATGATGTGGCTTGTATTTGTGTGTTTTTTTTCTGTCAGTCTGGCTTTGAAAAGTGTTTGTGTGTGTACAGTCTAGATTTATAAATGTGTTTGTGTATCAACAGTCAGGCTTTGTAATGTGTTTGTGTCTATATTCTGGCTTTGTAATGTGTTTGTGTATTTACAGTCGAGCTTTGTAAACTGTTATTGTATTTAGAGACAGACTTTATAATATATGTTTAAGTATTTGTCAATCTGTGTCTTTCTAACTTTGCTCTTATTATACGTTTCTGTTTATCACCCCCCCCCCCCACCGTCTCTCTCTCTCTCTGCCACTCTCGCTACTATCTCCTGTCTCCTATCTCCTCCTTCCTCTCTTCCTTCTCCTTACCCCTCCCCATCTCTGTCTATCTCTCTCTTCACCTCCCTCTCCCCCTGTCTATCTTTTGCTCTTCATAAACCTCCCTCCACTTTCCTCTCATCCCTCTTCCTTCGGTTTTCTCTCTTTCCTCTTTTCTGTCTTTCTCTCCTCCCCATTAATCTATCCCTCCTTCCTCTAGCTCTCTCTCATCAGCACCACCACTTTCTCCTCTGTCAACAAAACCTGTATTCCAATTTAGCTGGCAAATTTTTGTATTTGAGATCTTTATGGGACGAAACTTGATGATGAATGATTTTTCCTCTGGCAGACCCTGAGTTCAATCTCACTTTGAGGAATAATTTAGATGACGAGGGGAAACTGACAATGGCGAAATTATTCATCTAGATACGATTAAAAATAAAACTATTTGAATGTGTTTAAGAATGGATTAAGATAGTGATTGCACGGTTATAATTCTTATGTGTTCAGGGTAACTTAAGATAGAAACATGGCTTAATTATCTCAATGTAGTCATACACACGTGTTAACAGACTGAATAAATTTAATGTACGCCATAATGGTGGTTTCTGAAATTGAGTATAAACAACGGAAGACTTAACAATAGCGAAACTATTTCGCTGAACCAAACAACTATTTCACTGAAACACGAGTAGAAATATATTTTCGATGAATATTGAGTTACCGGATTCTGAAAACAGTAAAACTAGTTATATTAACTTGTGTTTGAGATGATTATAAAGCTCACTGATTCCATTACAAAGTTTACATGATTCGGTTAAAGGAGAGTTGGGTTCATTATTATTAATATGAAGGGTGAGGTACCGCCTTCATCACACCGCCACCACAGTAAATAAAACGGTTCCTTAGTAGGTATAAGAGCGTAAACATGTCATTTTATATATTCATGTATGTGTTTGTTTGATTATATATTTACAAGATATGAATGTTGGTTTATGTACGCGTATCAGTGCATTCATTACGACGCACGAAGTAACTCATCAAGGGGCCAGATCAGATTATTTTTTCTTCTGACGTAAGAGACTTGGCGGTTCTTAACTCTATGCGATTTTGGGCTTTGCCAATACTGACTGTCTCGCCTAGGATTAATGGGCTCGAGTTCTCTCAAAAGGACCCGATGCTCCTCCATTTCCCAGGAAACCCACCAAAGCTCTATTTCAACTTTCCCACTTTTTTCCCATCTAAAAAAAGGATATTATAGTTCTCGGATTCTTAAGAACAACTCGAAGGTCTCTGAGCCTGATCTTCGTTGTGTATTTCTTATCTGATGTGTGTGTTCAGGAGAGGTCTGACAGCCGCTTAAGTTTGTGAGTTACTCCAGGGTATAAGTTTAACGTGAATGGCCGGAGGAGAATTATTGATGTTATTGTTGGATGGATATTGGAAGGAAAATTCAAAATTTAGCGAAATAATTTGATGTCTTAAATCCTTTTAGATGATAATTTGAAGAAGTTTTTAATTGAATTTAGTTGAGGATGTTCCATAATTATTTTGTGAATTTTTATCTTACCTGAGTGACACGCCGATAATTATGAACCTTGAAAAGCGTATAGCTGCAGTTAATAATACAACAATTTTGAAGATCAAACAGAAACCTTTACAAACACCAAAATACAACGCCAGTCTTATCATCTTTTCATTCCTCAACGATTGGCTTTTGAGAAATAGTCTTTAATAACTTTAGAGTAGCTGTTTGATAATGGGAATGAGTAGTCTTAGATACGATTATTTTTATGCGTAAGTTAAGGTACAAATTTATTATACTATAACCAGATGGGATTTACTATAACTATACTTTAAATCTAACATTGATCACATCGAGATTAATTTATCACCTTTCTGATACAGTTTTGTTTAGCTACGGTAATTAATGTAACTTACGTTCACCTGAAATATATATATATATATATATATATATATATATATATATATATATATATATATATATATATATATATATATATATATATATATATATATATATATATATTATTTTTTTTACAAACTATCTAATTCCAATTGTGATTCTGGTAGGGATTATAGTTGTCCAAGTGGCCCTTTAGAGTTGGTCTGGTGGGTGAAGCGTGCTGTCAGTAGTGAGGGCTTCCAGTCCCTGTTCGTGATGTGAAGATTAATTGCTCATCAACAAAGTGTCTGTCATTGTCTCAGTGGATATACTTGTGGTCTACCAACACCGACAATCTCCAAGTTAATTCAAGTTGGAAATGTTAATACGATTTTTAAGGCAAAATTGGATGTTTAAACCATTTCCCTGCACTTAACATTCCTCTTTAAGAAATTCCATGGGCATACTTATGGAGATTAAGCTCACTAGATGACCATTTTACTGTCGCCAAAATGAAGAAAGAATATAATAATCTCACCTCTTACAAAGCAGTAAGTTTACATACATCCTGATGCCTGCAGACTGAGGGCCCTAACCTCTTGTTCATATTTATCAAGCATGTTTTAGGGCTATAACTCACACAAAATGTCTCTTCCACTAAAAATAAACAAAATGGAAAATAAAAAAAACACACACACACACACACATACATCAATTTCATCTCTTGCAGGCCATTAACTTTACTTCTTGCCTTCAGACGGAACAACTCAGACGATAAATATTGTGAAGATGCTGTACCATTAGCCAACGTCAAGGGGAATGACTCTGGCTGACTAATTGGGAGAGGAGGTTTACGTGGTAACCTGGGCAGATGGCAGCGGCAGGGCGGCTGAGACTATGACCGACTGTTGTTGCCGCTGCTGCCACTTGAAATATTTACACCTTTCTCGCCAGACTCTCCTTTATCCCTTTGAGCTTTCGAGAGGTCAGAAGTCGGTGTAGCGCAGGGTTGGGGAAGGGGGAAGTGTTCTGTATGTGTATGTGTGTGTGTGTCTCCCTCTATAACTTGCTGTCTATACCTCTGTCCTGCCTGTCTGTTGTCTTCCTGGCTGTCTATACCACTGTTTTCCTGTCTGTCTGTTTCTCTAGCTGTCTTTACCGCTCTCTCCCTCTCTCTTACCATTGTTCATGCTTTACCTGACAGCCACTGGAAAATTCACAAAGTTATGTAAAGCAAATAATGTCGAACAGGAGAGTTTCTGGTATTACCTAGAGTCTGTGCGTTTCACCCAACCTCAGTTTACCTGTGACTCGCTTCTCTGTTGATTTGTGTTTTATTGTTTGGTTGGTATCTTTCACACAAACAATGATGAGCAAATAAACACACGTATACATAAAATAAGTACATACAGGCATTCACACACACCTGCACATAAATACACATGTTGCTTCAAACAGTTCCTTTACCCCCTGTCGTGACGTTTATGTACATAGGCAGCGTCACATTAATAGAGTAAACTTATGAATGAATCCGTAGTAGTCTTGTAACACTGCAGCTGAATGGTGGAAATGACTCCTAGATACAATTTCGCTTGGCAGTCTCATGTATGCAAACGTTACCACAGGGGGCAAGGGAACTCTTTGTGACAAATGTACATATTCTTCACTTTAGGTATTCACTGCAAACGGACACATACTTGCGCGCGTGCACACACACACACACGCACGCACGCACGCACACACACACAGGTACTCACTGATAACGGTGAGCTGGACGAAGTGGCTCATCTTAGGTTCAGTGGACACCTGGCACTCGTAGCGGCCAGCGTCTTTCTCCTCCACGAACTTCACCTGCAACGTCCATGTGTTGGTGAGAGCTTCATGCCAGGCAGCGAACCGGGCGTCTGTAATGAAGGTGTACCGGTCCACTGACAGGATGTGGGCGTCCCGATTCCTCACCCATGACACCTGTAAGTGAATAGATGCAGGTATAGTTAGATGGGTGTACTTAGACAGGTGTGTAAAATGTACATTGGAACATTCATATAAATTTATGCATAATACAAACTACAAATGACTTGTGTTAATACTAAGCTAACTAAACATAACGTAACCTACCACAGCGAGAAAAAATATATACAGCGAAGCAAATTTACTGAGACGCATCAAGTCAGACCCAATTTCCTTTTTATGGAGAGTCATGGCTTAACGCAAATTGTGGTCCAGACTCATTTATCTCAGCCGAGTACCTCAGCTCTTATGCCTCACTCACCCCTCACACCTCACTCACACTCACACCTCACCCATCCCCTTACACCTCACCCATCCCCTTACACCTCACCCATCTCTCATACCTCACCTAGCCCCTTACACCCCACTCATCCCTCATACTTATCCATCCCTCACTAACCCCTCACACCCCACTCACCCCCCTCACACCTCACCCAGCCCCTCACACCCCACCCACCACCGCACACCTCACCAATCCCTCATACCTCACCCAACACCCTCACATCTCACCCACCCCTCACATTTAACCCATCCCTCATGCCTCACTCACACCTCACCCAAATTCTCGCACCTTCATACATTATAAACCATAAACCTTAATTTAAACACACACACACACGCACACACACACACACACACACACACACACACACACACACACACACACACACACACACACACACACACACACACACACACACACACACACACACATCCAAACGTTAAATATCAATGAAGTTCTCTTTTGGTTCAGGTCAGTGACGTTGTTTTATCACTGGAATTTTGTCATAACAAATTGAGTTATACTCTTTCTCCTCTCTTCTCCTCTTTTATTTTCATGGTCTTTTTCGCTGATGATGATGATGATGATGATGATATTGATGATGGACAGTAATTATGATAATATCCAATGGGGTTTTCTTGAAATAAGACTTAAAACCTGACTCAATAGGATTATAGTGTACAGTTTTCTTAACTTATAAAGGTGAATGTGTTTTCTCAAGAGGTCTACTAAAGGAGTCACACACTTTTAAATGATTCACTCTTATAATTACATCTTTGTTATTTAATTATTTGTATCTGTAGTATTGCGGTTACATAAGGTTTCAGTACCAATTTGTTCTACTTAAAAGTTTCCGGAAATAGTAAACCAAATAAACAAAGGCTTCTCTCAGCGATGCACAGGTTATAATAGGCTTCCGGAAATAGTCAAACATATAAAGTATTTCTCAGTGATTTATACATGTTGCCACAGGTTTCGGAAATAGTAAACCAAATAAACAAACATAGGCTTCTCTCGGTGATTGACGGTGATTGAGGGCATAATTGTTATCTCCAAGTTTGGTAATAGAAACACAGTGAATTGAAATGGTCTATGATAGTACTGTCCCATTTAACTTTTAATGGTTACGCTGAGATTGGATCTCTCGACTAAATGACTGGATAAAGCTGCTTATTATAACGTTAATTGAACGACCTGCACATTGGCCATTAGAGTAAAACATTAACTTAGTGGATATAAAAATTATTCTACTTGATATTGAAAAAATAAAATAAATAATGTAAACTACAAAATTCAGTTCACTTAATAAAGGTAAAAATTATGTAGAATAAATATATAATCCCACACAAAGACAAAAGAAAATAAGGACAAAAATTGCATAAAAAAAAACATATCAAATAATAACTCAGGGGAGACGTGTGTTATCAGGGTAAGAACGACGTAACAAGGAGACCCAAATTGAATCTGAGGGAGACATTTATACTGAGGGTGGGATTGTGTTCCTCTGAGCTACACACCTCGTAATGACAGACGAGTGAGAGAGGAATGACCAGGTGATTGTACGTACGCTCGAGAATAAACGAATGGAAGAGAGAAAACGGAGGATAATAACAGTGTGGGTAGAAGAGAAAATGGAAAAATACCTTATGGGCGGGATTGCCTTCAATTACAACAGCTAAGTTTCTAAGTATTAATACAAGTGCTATGAGATTTTTGTATAACCATCTACACCCCCCCTGTAGTAGAGTGTAAGGTACTGTATAATTTGTGTAAGTATGAGCTGTAATGTGTAGATGAACGGAAGAACAAAATGTAGGAAAAACAAAAAATAGACGCTTGAGTTTCTTATCACAAAGTAAAATAATAAAGGGAGGGAGAGTGGCAATATGTGTACCTGTGTTAGAGTAATCAGCAGAGACTAAGCGAGTAATGTGTGTGGGTGAAATGGGTTTACAAATCTTAATATAGGACTAATACAAAGTTCGTGTATGAGAATTTCATATCAGAGTATAATGTATAATTTCTATACCAAGTTCTTACCAGGATAATAAAAGATCTTGTTCAGGTTTATAGTTGTAAAGTAGAATCCTAATAAAAAGTATATCCACCCACTCTATGTACTACACCTACTTTGGCCACACCGGCAGGAAAATCACATCTTCGCAATTACAGAAATATACACGTTTTCAAATATAGATCCCTTCTCGCCTAGTTCATTTTTGTTACTCTCTCACTGTACCTCCAACATAACTATAATAATAACCTTCCTCCCAATATTATAGACCCGGCCGACACCCCATTATTTTGGCTCATCCTTACTTAGTTCCCAATATTTTGTAAACACAGAATTTTCTCAATAGCTGTGTGGGCTAACACAACGTGTACACACACACAGGCACACGCACGCACAAACACACACACACACACACACACACACGCACACATGCACACACGCACACGCACACACACATCGTCCTATGTAAAGAAAAAAGATAATTGCGGGAATTTTTTTAAAACTTTCCTCATTTCCGAATAACAATAATAACAATGTACACAAATGGCGGTATTTAAATGCCTTAGCCGATAACGCACTTATTTTATCCCTATTTACATAATAGAGGAGAAAATAGAGCACAAATACATCACTTAACATCTCAATATCTATTACGGAGGGAACATAATATCTATCTGCATCACAGAATGAAGAGAAGAGAGAAACTTACCGATTTATTGCCGAGGTTTTTAATCTTACAAGGAAGGTAAGCACTGGAGCCAAGCTGAGCCTTGACGTGGGTAGGGGAGGTAGGGTCGAAGTAGGGCACCTCAGCCGCCAGTAGCGCATCCTTCCGCCGGTGTCTGCCAAGGTTCCTCCGGTTGGAGTGCTTGAAGCCTCCTGACCCTGCAACACGGAGATGAACCGTTTTATACAGTGTAACATGAAGCAGTAGGAATACCTCAACGTAATCCATCACATGCAAATATTATTCTTAATATCTTAGTGAAATAAAGTTATATAATTTTTTGACGATATATATATATATATATATATATATATATATATATATATATATATATATATATATATATATATATATATATATATATATATCATTGTAGGTGCGCGTGATCCAGGTATATGCTGATAACCACAAGGAAACAAGAAAACACGTAGTTCCCAAGCGCTTTCGTGTAATTCACATCTTCAGGGGTGAGTACAGACTAAGGAGACATACATAACAAGGCAAATATATACAGTAGAGGAGAGTGAGATCAAGTCCCTAGGGGACAGTGAGTGTCCACAATGGTCAGGTCACTAGGCAGTAACCCTACTAATCTTCATAAGCACCGCAGCAGTCGGTATTCAGGTCAGAATCATTGCGCAAGAGAACTTCGTGGAAAAAATTTAAAAACATTTTCTTTTTGCTGGCGGCGCCAACAAATGTATTCTGTTGCTGCCCCAACATCATCGATTCATAGAAACTTAAACAAGAATTTCATTTGAAAATATAGAAATATCAGCCAAACGCCTCATTACACAATCTGTGATATCTAGGCCACTTTGTCTGGTGTCGTCGTATACCGACACGCCCTCGGAGAGTTCAGCACCACCTATGAAAGAAGGAAAGAATTCCTGGCTCTGGCTACAAAGTTGTTCTGCGTCAATACCCGGATTTTCTAAAGTTCATACATCAATATTTTCTGGTATTTGAATATGTAAGAACACTTCTAGTTGTCTCACCTCTACCTAGAGCACTAAAGTCCAAAACGGCATAATGAATAAATTGGTGTTCCTGTCTGAACAAATACCTTCTTTTAACACTAATTAGTAGACGAAAATTTACGTGAATCGAAAAGATAATTACGGTATGAAGATTTACAGTCAGAAAATGTATAAAGAAAAATTAGCAGGAGTACAAATTTTTCCATAAAGTGACAGTACCATAACACCTTACAACCCGCCATAAGAAGAATATATATAACTATGTAGTCTAGGTACAGTAACTACCATATGTTGACAGCATCATAAAATACAAAAAAAAAACATACTTAAGAACAGAAATATTATCCTAAACCTACCAGAGAATGAGAGATTTACCCATTAAATAGATACAGGTAAGACCACCTTGTCATCACTAGATACTTGAATCCCACTAAAAATAGTTAAATACACAGACTACTCAGCTGAATCACACCGTCACACAGTCATTACTCACACACAGGACAAACAGAGGTAAGTAAAGCTCTTGCGGTACAGGCTTAATAATATCTCGGCCTTGTCTTTGTAACAATAATACCGTCTCAGATCTTTCACACTAAGAGAGAATATTTTTTTTTACCACAATTATATAGATATGTGTTTCAGGGATTCTATTTAATGTGTGGTTTTTTTTTTACTCGTTAACAAAGTCACAACAAGTAACTAATTTGTCACTTTTGTTCCTTTTATACATTATTATTATTGTTATTATTATTATTATTATTATTATTATTAGTAGTAGTAGTAGTAGTAGTAGTAGTAGTAGTAATATTACATACTACACAGGTAACTCATCAGACCATTTACACCTGCCGATGTATAGAACACTGGGCGTGGACCTTGATCTTTAGCCTCCAAGAGTCAACAAGTCCTTATGGTCAATCCCCAACCCACCTGGTAAGGTAAATAAAACGTATATTAACCCTTTTATGAGAAATATTGCTTTGTTACGTGCATACACCTTCACGCACGCACACAGGTAACCACACACACTCATATCTAAACACACAACTGCCTACTCACTCTCTCAGTCTGCATGCGTGTCTATTTGTTTGTCTGTCTGGCTGTAACACACACACACACACACACACACAAAAAAAAAACCCTTTCCTCTTCCCCACATACACAACAAAATGTGGAAGCTAATTACCCTTTTCACCTCTTTCATCCCATTCCCCTCTCTCCCCCTCACCTCCCTTCACCCTTCAATAGACGTTATAGATAAAATCCCATCAATTACGTATAGAAAAAATAAAAGGTTATTCACATTAACACAAATTAACACAGCGCAACATTACGGAGTTGACTTTTAGTGTGGTTGAGTATGGGAGAAAAATACCAAGTAAAAAACGAGGAACCATTACATTTTTCCTGTTGAGTTTTGTAAAGTTCAATACAGTACTGGGAGCTGGAGGAAGGAAGGAAGGAAGGAAGGAAGGTATAGGGAAGGAACGAAGGAGAAAATAAGGGAGTTGAAAAGAGGGCGAGCGGGGAGGGAAGGAAGGAAGAAAGAGGAGGATGGGAGAGGAGAAGGAAAAGAGAAAGAGATGTTAATGAAAAGAGCAAATTAAAACATTGAAATCAGGATGAAGGAGATTGGTGGAAAGGAGGGAAGGAATAAAAGTGATTGGTAAGGAAGTAAAAGGGGTATAAGTAGGAGGAGGAAATAGATGAGGAAAAGATAGGAATAAGCAAGGAGGAAACGGAATATTGGGAAAAAGATGGGAGGGCGGATGGTGACAGAATGGGTGATGAAGGGAGGGGAAGAGGAAGAGGGTTAAAAGAGAGAAGGAGGGTATTATTGTAAGAAGGTAGGGAATGGGGGAAGAGAAAGAAGGAAAATATTATGGAAGGAAGAGGAAAGAAAGTAGAAAGAGAGAAAGAGAGAGAAAACAAAGAGACAGATCGGATGAAAAATGAAGAGAGACAGTCTGACAGACGAACAGATAGTAATACGTACACAGGTACAGACACAAAGAAACACAGAATCAGCATAGTATTTTCAGAGGAGCAGGCGATGAAAGGTATACAGACAGACAGACACAGACTCAGAGAAGCTAGTGATGAAAAAGAGAGGCAGAAAGACACACACACACACACACATACACACACACACACACACACACACACACACACACACACACACACAGAGGACCGCACTATGAGAGAGACAGGTGATGAATAACACAATATGAGGGACGGTGAGGCCAGGTGTCAGGGCCTGTCGTGCTCACCTGTGACACCTGCTGCTGGGGATATTACTCTTAGTTAATGTTTTATGGTGGGATTCAGGACTAAGCCAAGAGAACATTGCCGCAGGCCTCCCAATATTTGTTTCTGCATTGTTTACCTGCCTATGTATGTATGTATGTATGTATGTATGTATGTATGTATGTATGTATGTATGTATGTATGTACACACTTATACAATACGAATTAAGTCTTACTAGGAATGACCATTTATTCTTACTTTACCTACGACTTATTCGACCAATCACAGCAAGTTATCAGTATTAGGCCTATACCCCTCTACCCCTTTTTCAATAGACCTATACCCCTCCCCTTCTTCAATAGACCTATACCCCCTCCCCTTCTTCACTAGGCCCATACTCCCTCCCATTCTTCAATAGGCCTATAACCATTCCCCTTCTTCAATAGGCCTATACCTCCTCCCCTTCTTCAATAGGCCTATACCCCCTCCCCTTCTTCAATAGGCCTATACCCCCTCCCCTTCTTCAATAGGCCTATACCCCCTCCCCTTCACTAGGCCTTCAATAGGCCTATACCCCTTCCCCTTCTTCAATAGGCCTATACCCACTCCCCTTCTTCACTAGGCCTATACCCCCTCTCTTCACTAGTGGTCGGTTCATTATTAAGTTTCATCCTTCACATAGGGGTAGTGTCAAACTTTCCGAGCCTGGCCGAGGAAGTGTTAGGGAATATTCATAATCAAACCGCGGTATTGGTTAGGTTAGGTAAGGTTAGGTTAGGTTAGGTTGATGGCAGATACTTAGAACCAATTCATATATTACCTTTTTCCTTTACTCTTTTTATTCCCTCCCCTCTCTTCTTTCTCTCCCCTTCTTTAAAATCTTCCTCCATCCCTCCTCAATCATCTTTACCTTCATCCTGCTGCATTAATTTTTATCGACTCTCCCAATCAGGAAATTTTGCCTTTCGAGCGTTGATAGTTTGATGGTTCGCTTGTTTGTGAGCCCTGGTTCGTAATTTGCTTCGTTAAGGCCGGGCGAGGAATAAAGTTGCCGTGTCAGTCTTCATATGACGCATCGAATATTTTGTTTAGTTTTTGTATATGTGTAGTTTTATTGAAAGTAACATATAGCGTGTCGTTGTGTTGCTCTTGTATATATTTCTGTCTGTCTGTCTGTCTGTCTGACCTGCAACCAGTCTCTCATATTAAGACTGGCTAGAGGATTGTCGTTTATAATGTCTTATGTCGTTCCGTCGTGTCAGTGTTTCATTTTACAGTCTCGTCGCTCCGTCATGTCGTCGTACCGTTTTCTTGTCGTGTCACTATCCCACCGCCTCATCACCTTACCATTCAGTCGGTTCATCGCTAAGTTGTATCATCACTCGGTCGCCTCAGCACCGGAGCGCAACTGATAACGTAACTCTGAATCGAACCTCCCAATTTATTTATTTTAGCGAGCCGGATAAGACATAATCACGATATGGCAAAAAAATACACTGTAAGCCGGATAGATTGTGTAGATGTAACCTATTTTTAGCTATATGTCATTCGCTTTTCTAATTGTTTTCCCCGTTGCGTCATGTCGCGTCGTGTAAGCTCCTAATATCGTATCAACATAGACGTGTCAAGTCGCACCGCTGTCGTGTCCCCCGCCGTCTTCTGTCGTCGCGTGGGGAAGAAATTGTCGCCGTGTGGTGTCGTCACTCTAACTCCGTCGGGAATGAGTCATAAGAACGACCTTGGTGGTGAAGATAACGACATTCGTCACTGTTTTGCGGCACCTCCATGTGTGTGTGTGTGTGTGTGTGTGTGTGTGTGTGTGTGTGTGTGTGTGTAACATGAAGTGCCATATCACTATACGGTATATTAAATTATATAATAATGACAGTTATGAAGTTACAACAGGGCTTTAATACGCTTCAGGTATTAT